GGTAGAACCAAAGCCTCGACACAACAAGTTGCATTTGTTTTTTGTCAAGTATATCATCCATTTGGAATTCTCATAAGTACCATTTAATGATCAACAGTGTTTAAGTGATCCGCGTTGACCAAAAGTATTGTAGATCTATTAGAGGATTGGTAGAACCAAAAGCTCCACACAGTGAATCTCAAGGTTATTGGATCAAAGAGATCAAATTAACATACTTGGGCTTGTAATCATAAGTTTGGGCCACAAATGATCATTTATTCGAATCGGGACAAAATTTAGCGCTATGTTAAGTAATCGTAAGTGGACTTATATAGAAGTCACACCTATTTTGAGGCCGGTCAATAGCAATCTATGCACCATTTGTTTTGAGACATGATATAGGGATCATGCTCTAACAACATTTAGTGCAATGGGAAAGGGATGAGATGAAGAGGGATGGGAAAAAAAATAAATCATATTTAAATTAAATTTTAATCAAACTATTATTAAAATCATTCATCGATTTTTGTGGAGTTAAACTCAACACCATGGATTCAATGATGTTAATAAAGTTCATGATCCAAAACCTAACCCAAGATCAGCCAGAAAATAACTACAAAATAATATCACATTTAATATGAAAAAAAAGATTTTAAAAATGTTTTAAAAATAGAAAATAATGAGAAAAATATCAACTATGTTCAAATTAATCAAGAAATGAAAAGCAAGACCATAGAAAAATCAGAAAAAGGGCCAAGTAATTTTACAAATTTTTTGGTAATTTTTTAAAGTCAGAAACTATTTTTAAAATTAAAATAAATGGGTAAAATAAAAAAAAATGATAAAAAATAGTAAAGTCAGAAACAAAAATAAAATAAGGTCACAAATATTTGTCACAATATCATTGGATCATTCCATAATTTTTCCAGAATTTAGAAATGTATAAAAGTATTTTTAAACATTTAAAACAAATCAAATAAGTGTAAAATTTATAAAAAATACCAAAACAAAAAATTAAATTGTGAAAAAATAAAAATCAGAAAGAGAATAATCAAAAATATTTTTCATAATTTTTTCATATTTTTTGGACTAAAAATGAATTTTCTATAATTTTTTTAAATTTAAAACAATTAAAATATAAAAATCAGAAAAAGAAAATAAAAGTAAAATATGTGGACCATTGGGTGAGAGTCAAAACGCGTTAGTAATCAAATCCAAGGGATCTGGTGCACTGTGCATATCATGGTCATTAGTGAATAATGTACAAAATCAAATATAAATCAGATTTTCAAAAATAACAAGTGACGTGCCATCATTGGTTGGAAGATGACACGTAGGTCATCTTCAACCTCCAGCCAACGTGATTTACAGGTCTCTCAAACTGTAAAATCAGAAGCTCAGACCTATGCCAATCGCTTCGTCTCTTCAAGACAAAAACAACCACACCCTCGCGCCAAATTTATATAAACTCTAGCTCAAGCAATTTGGAAGGAAAGTTTTGAAAAGGGATTTGAAATTTCATGGTGAAAACGTGTTTCCATTGAAATGTAAATGTTGCGAATAGAACCAGGGCGATGAGAGCAACACGATGATATCAGAGTTTTGAAGAATTGATGAAGGAATCTACCTATTGAAGTTGAGTTGCAGAGCTCTGAAACTGGACTTCTATGGAATAGTATAGAGCACGATTCTTGAATGTAGTTATATGGTTAGCTTCAGGGAAGATCAAGGAAGGTGAGTTGAGGGAAAAATTGGATTGAAAAAAGGTCGAGAATGGATTTTGAAGTTGCTGAATTTTGAGTTGTGAAACAAGTTTGGCAGGGTGATTCTGGCTATCCAAGCTTGGGAAATTGAATGGGATAATTCATGTATTTATAGGAGAAGCGAATGGGATCAAAAGGAAGGGTGAATGATGCGTTTTGGAGGGAAATCGTGCATACCTGATGTACGAATGAAGTGTGATACAAACTTCATCAAATCTCATCTAATCCTTGATATAAAATTAATTTCATATATATGGTTCATCTTTGATTCTAAGAGAAGTATGGTGTGTAGTTTTTATAAATGATGTAAGTTTCCTTTAGGGCAGATAAAATAGAATGTTGTTTTTGTAAGTGAGAAGAGTACCCCTGATACTCATAGTTATTATATCTTGCTTATAAAAAAACTACTAAATTAAAGAAAATATAAGAAAGATTTGACTCACTTTTATTTGATTTTCACTAGTTATGACTTATGCGAAAGAAATTATCCACCTTTTTTAAAAAGGCAATGGTTTAATAAAAGAATTATAGGGGTACTTCAACCTATTACAAACAACACAAGTTACCCAATATTTCTAAAACATAGAAGGGATAAAATGTGACAATCATAAAAAGTACAAGAAAAATAAGATTTACAAGTTATCTCGTCCAGCTCTTAGACCAATATTTGATTGACGTCAAACATTCATCAAAATTAAAGACCTCCATTGAAAAGAATAGAATTTAGCATCAACCAAATACTTCAAAGAGAGACCATCCAAAATACACTAATTATTTTTCTATGAACCCTATTCATCAATGATCCACTTGAACTTGAATTACACTAATTCCACTAATCTTTCATTGGTTTTTCTAAACATTCATTATTCTTATTTGTCATTTTTACTAACAACTAAAAGTAATTTTAGGTGAAAATATAATAATAATAATAATAATAATAATAATAATGGTTAATATTGTTATTTAATTTTTTAAATACTAATCTTTCCAATTTTAAAATTAACAAATTTTGTAGAGTAATTATATATTAGAGTAGATAAAAATAAAATATAAATATAAATAAACTGGTATTTTATTTATAAATCAGATACTATATCATTTCAAATTAACAGTCAAATACATACACCAATGACCCTTCAAGGGCTAGACTACAACATAACTATGCTAGACTGCTGAGACAATTGCTATCAGCCTGGTTATTAGCAGACCTAATACAAAAAATACAGTTTTTTACCGACTCAGTCACACACTTGACAATTTTCTCCGAAATCTGAAGCTTATTATTCGAGAGCACATCATTTTGACACATCCAAATATGCTACACCATAGCAGCAATTGTGGCTGTATAAAACGAACGCTTGAATCTTCTTATCTTGGCCCTATCAAGCTATCTAAGAACATCCTACAAGTTGATTATTTAAGCATTCCAATTCAGCCAGCTTTTGACAAGGTTTAAGCATCTTGCGTTGTACTTGCAATCAAAGAAAATATGTTGGGTAGTTTCTTTCTGATCACCATACAACAAGAACTCATTATTATCAACTATACCAATCTTAAACAATTGGTCCTTATTCGGAATTATATTAAGAATTATTCTCCAACCGAAAAAATGAATTTTTGACGAAACTTATACCTTCCATAAATGATTAATGGCGGTCACCACATCCACCAGAAGAGGTGGGTCAGAGAGCTTCTCGCAAAACATATTAAAACAAGACTTTACTAAGAATATCCCGTTATTTTCTCTCTTCTATTCAAACCTGTCTGCCACTTGCTCCTGCGGGACCGACTCTTTGACAGCTTCGTGAATTTCCTGCCATGAGCTAGCCGGAAAACTACTATTGATATGCACCAGATCGGTGAACTCGCAAGCCTACCCCGCTTCCCTCATACTTTCTTCTTCAACAAAACTAACCTTATCGTCGATAACATGCACAAAGATCTCAGGGAAGCATCCATCAATGATTGATTTCCGATCCAACAACATTTCAAAGCACCTGAGAATAGCTTTCATACACCAAAGGTTCTCACTATCACCCTCCACCATTATAATTATATCATTCGCAAAGTGAAGAATATTCACTTCCTCCACATCATTATTCTTGAAAATATAGATTATAAATAACTCAAATTTAGCAAGATTTTAAGGGATTTTATTTTGCTTTATAATGTTAATTTTTTTCAATCCTACGATTTTTGCTTTTGATTAATGCTTTTTATCTATATTCAAGAGTGTTTTCATAAAAATAGTTCACATCTTTAACTTGACTAGAAACTAGTATGAATTTAAGTCTAGCTTTATAAATTCAAAAAAATTAAAAATTTTGAAGTAAAATTTTAACATAAATTGTATTTTTGTATAGGCAAATACTAATAAATAAAAGACATAAGAGATGCACAACAAACAAAAGCATGCTACAAAAGAGAGTCAACTTCAACAGAACAAACCTAACCAGCCCCTAAACATCTAACTGGAGAGACACACTAATCCGATCAGGACCCATGACGATCCGGATTAAAAGACAATAGAAACTATCAATTGTCTTTTAACCATCATGCCTAGATGATGAAAAAATGTATTAAACCTATTCCAAATAGAAGTTAATAATGAAAAAATCTTAATCGATTAGTAAGGTAAGTTTTCAGGCAGCAATAAATTTTATATTTCTACTTATAATATTTTATCAACTTTTTTCTATTTACACTTTTCTTATTAAATTTCTTTTTATGATAATTTTTCAATAAATATTTAACAACAAGTTATATAAATTCAATTTTAATCTTATAAGAAAACAGATACATGTGATTTTGTTGCCATAATCTCTATTGAATGTAAATATAGAAAATATTACATTATTAACATACAAATTCAATAATTCCTATTATAATATTAACCTAATTATAAAATGAAGTATTATTAACAGAAATCCCAAATAAATAAATTCATCACCCTAACCCAAGTTTTTGAACAAATCAAAGAAATTATTCAATCAATAAATAAATAAGAAGAATTAAAAGCTATTTATTTTTATTTACTTACTATCCAAGTTTGTGAGCATTTATAGTTTTGATATAAACCACCAATCCAGTTAAGTAAATGAATCTTGAGCCCCAAGATAAATCTCTAAATTCAAAAAAAACTAACCTATTATAAGAATTATTTATTATTATATATATGCTTACGAACATAACTCTTACTATCACACACATCTTGTATTCTTTTGTTGTCCTCGGTGCACTTTTCCATTCCTAGAAAATATGGCCGTCTCTCAAGAAGACATTGCTTATGAGATATTTTCTTGGTTACCGGCAAAAACCATTTGTAAATTTGGATTAACTTGCACTTCATTCTCAAATTTTCAAAAAGAAACTCATTTCAAAACAAAACAGTCTTGTAATTTGTTAGGGATGAATGATACATGTTTCTTCCTACAACATGATCAGATAAGTCAAAGGTATCAAAAAAGGATTGAGTTGCACCACTTACCTAAAGAGCAGCAACAATTGTCTGGTGTTCCTGATAATGTTCTCACATTCCTATCAAATTCAGCTTGTGTCCTAGCTTCTAGTAATGGTTTGCTTCTTTGTCATACCATCAATGATGATCCATTTGAATTGTTTATTTGCAATCCTATTACAAAGAGTTGCTTTTTCATTCCTATTCCAGAGTCAGTTAGAAAAAATCATAACATTTCTAATATAAATCTCATGTTAGATTGCACTCATTGCTCTTCTGATGACTATTTGATATTTTATTTTGAAAATACAACCGAATGGTCACCAACAAGTTATACATGCAATATTTATTATGGAAAAGAAGGTGCATGGAAAGGAGTGGAAAACAACTTTTTAAGTGGTGGTAGGAACATGAAATTTGACACGCCGGTGATACATAATGGAACACTTCATTTTATTTCGGATTGTTCTAATTACTTTACGAGATTGAGTCCTTTCTATAAGCCATATATAATGTCTTATAGTTTTGTGGAAGGAATTTCAAGTATTCTGAAGTTGCCAAGGGAAGCTATAAAAGGTTTTCATGTCGAGTGCAACATGGGCATATTTAATTGGGGTAAGGTGAGAAGTTCCAATACTTCTATATGTTTAGTGAAATCAAGAAAGTCTGTTTTTACCATTTGGATTTTAAAAGATTACAAGTCATGTTCATGGCAAAAGATTTTAAAAGTGAGAGTGAATGCATTGGGGTTAGAAGAGAAAGATGCTCATGTTACTGGATTTACTGTCATGAACGGCAATATTTTAGTTTTTTCTACGAAACACAAGATTTATAGTTGTGGTTTGGATGAAGAAACATTCATGATGGTTGAGGAAATAGGCTCACACAGTTGTGGATCGAATCCTCACTTTATTTCTTACTCAAACACTCTTCGTTCGTGTGGGGCTAATGATAAAACCATGTCTTGCTAGAAACAAATGATGTATGATGCCTAGGATTTTTGAGAAGTTGTAATATGTTTATTTCATTTAATAAAGTTCAAGGCATTAGTTATTAATTTTGAATTTATTGTAGTTACTGTCTTTGATACAATCTCTTAATAATAGTTATACAACCTTTCCCTTAATCTTCTGTTTCAGTCAAGCTTTTTCTTGATCCCAGTGAAGAGGGGTATGCTGCATTCTAATCCAGTTGACGACCTTCTTCCAGATATATTTTCCTGTTGCACAATCAAATAACAAATTATTAATATTTTTTTGCCTCTACACAGAAGCTACATTGTTCCTGCACATCAATACTAAATCTTCTCAAGGGGTCTCTTTTTGCTAACCTATTTTGGAAAGCTAACCACAAATTAACAATTGTCCGAGGCCTAGCAGCATTATCATGCATCATGTGACTCCAGGGTACTGTTATCATGTCATTATAAAGTTCACGGTAGATTTTTCTCATATGGAATCTCTCAGTTACCATTATCATATTCCAGAAGTTTTGCACATTGCCAATGGAGTCTCTCATGTTCAACACTTTTTTCAAAATCCATGAGCTATCCATCTTGAAGTTAACCTACATAACATTCTTACCCTTGAGATAATATGCATGGACCCATTTAACCCAAAGATTCTCAGATTTCCTACAGATATTCCACAGAAGTTTCAACATGGTCACTTGATTCCAAACTTTCAGGTCAATCAGATTAAGCCCCCTTTGATGTTTTGGTCTGCAGACTTATTTTCAAGCCACTGGGCTTTTGTTGCTTTTCTATAACTTGTCAGTCCATAAAAAAGTTATGTAGATGGAGTTTATTTTCTTGATAACAAACTAAGGTAATGAGAAGACTTGCAACCAATAGTTTGCTATTGCAAAAGAAATGCTTTTCAGCAATTGTAACCTCCTTGCGTAGTTTAACATTTTAGTGCTCCAATGCCCAGTCCTCTCAACTATCTTATCCACAAGAGGCATGAAGTGGTGGATAGATAGTCTTTTACAAGTAAATGGCACACCTAACTGTCTAAAAGGAAGTATTCCTTCTACATATATTTTGTGCTAAAAAATCTCCTTCTTTGTATCTACATCCACTCCCCCAAAATATATCTTGCTTTTTGTAGGATTTATTTTCATACCTGTTGACTTAGTTGATCTGCAAAAAGCTTCCATCATAATATCCACAGATCTGCCATCACCCCTAGAAATAAACAAAATATCATCTGCATAAGTTAGGTGAGTAATAGATAATTTCTCACACTTCACATGATGATTATAATCATGGATCCTCTGCATCCTTACCATGATTCTGTTAAGGTATTCCATAACTATCACAAATAGGTAGGGAATATTGGACCCCCTTGCCTCAAGCCTCTCTTAGCCTTCATATTTTTATTAATCTTTCCATTAATATTGAACTTATAAGATACTATGGTGACTGCAAGCATTATCCATCTTATGAACTGAGTTGACATCTCTATTTCCTGTAAGATACTTTCCACTGCTTTCCAATCAACCATGTCATAAGCTTTTTGAAGGTCAATCTGAATCATACACTTTAGAGTGTCGTAACCTGAAAAAAATAAAGAGTCGCCACCATTAAATTTTGTCCTAAGGACGAGGGAGTAACAGATAACCCTAATTATTTAGAAATTCTAAGTTCGCGAGTTGGTTAGACGAAGGGTAGGTGTTAGACACCCTTCATCTCCCTTATTCTCAAGGGGCTAGATTTTTAGGTCTAAGGGAAACATGTTATTCCCTAAATAGCATAAAAATGTTTAATTTTTAGTTTATGTACTCGTCTTGGTTTTAAACGCGTTTCTATGTATCTTCTTGCGAATAATCAGAATCCAAATTTGTAGTTCGTAGTCCAGGCGAGGTTACTAAGGGAGACATGAAAAATTTTCAATTATCACCTCAGTGATTTAAAAATTGAGGGGGAAAAGTGGCACTGGTCACGGGTTTGATCCCTAGCAACTATATTTTTTGGATTTTCAAAATTGTACTACTTTTTACCTCAGTTTTTAACAATAACCGAGAGGTAAAGTCCTACTTACAAAATTTTAAATTTAACCTATTTTTTTTTACGTATTAATCTACAAAGTACTTATTTTTTGACAAAAGCTATATCTTCCTCCTCATCATCATCAATAACAACACCTATAACAATAGCAAAAACAAAATCAATAGAATCCTTAAACATTAAGTCTCACAACAAAAACAATAACAACAACAACAACAAAATCCATGGAATCTTTAAATATTATATCTCAAGAACAACAATAACAACAAATAAACAAAATCAATAGAATACTTAAACATTAAATCTCAACAATATAAGTAACACAACAATAATAATAACAAAAAAATCATGGAATCTTTAAATATTAAATCTCAACAACATCAACAACAACGACAAATAAACAAAATCAATATAATCGTTAAACACTAAATGTGTACAACAACAACGACAATATTAAATATTTTACTTGATATTGTTAGAGATAAGTCACATACTTCTCTAATCAAAGATTGACACCACAATGAGCTAAAAACAAAACTATATTTTTATCTCTAATAGATACAACTACAACTAACATTAAACAATTTTAACAAGGAATTAATAGATAAAATATTATATTAAGAAACTAACCTTGAAATATTTTCCTGCTCTTGCTTTCATTATCATTGTTTACAATTGTTTCCAGTGATTTCTGGTAAACAACCGCTAGTCTTCCAAACTATCGAATAAACTTACTGACTGTTATTCAATTTCTCTGGTAACTCACAGGATCGACTAGATTGATCCTAGGACGTGTTGGTCATTAGGGTAACTCTCATGATCGAACAGGTATTCATGGTTTCTCTTAAAATGTTGTGTAGTTGTTTGACTTATTTCGATTTCTCTCTTAAAGATCTAAAGATGTAATCAAAATATATGTGCGCGAAACTAAATTGCATGAATAAAAGTTAATTGTAAAGACATGTAAACTTCATAAAAGACAAGTAAATGGCTTCGAATTATAAAAACAGTTAATGTAAAAGATGCTCTGGAATGTAAAAGATTCGAAATATGAAGAAAGCGTTTAATGCAAGAAATCTGTAAAATGACTTTAAGTAAAAAGAAGCGTTCGAAGGATAAAAACTTGAAGACAAAGACATGAAATGTATAACAGTTTCTGAAACGTAAAATGTTTGAAATGGAAAGAAAGCATTTAAATGTAAGGCGTCAATGAAAAGATTTCGAATAAAAAGACTTTAGATGCAAAAACTTGTAAATGGTATTTGACAAAAAGATAAAGGAAAGTACTGGAAATGATAAAGGGTTTTCATTAAATCATAAATATGTGGTGTTATCATACATACATTTCTCTTGCATTTGTTTCCCTAGCCATGTGGTAATTTGAATGTTTACTGAGTATTTAGTACAATAGATATGACACACGAAATCCTAATACTAAGACTTCTATTTATACTACTTCGACCATAACGGTCTTGCTATAAGATTATGCCACGTTCAGAACATGCAGAACAATGCCTCTCTCTTGTTTCCACGTGTCTTCAAATGCTCCAGCACATAAATTTCAAACTTCGAATATCCCGCTTGCATTTGAATTTCAAATGTTTTGGTACTTCTTCGCTTCAAACGCACTTCTTAGACACAGTCTTGTTGTCATTTCGAGACTTCTTTGGATATATTCTCATAATTGCCACTCGAAGCTCCAAGCTTTGATATGCTCATTCGAAACACTGCTTCTGCTATTTCGAAACATGACGTTTTGTTTCATTTCGATCGAAACGTCCACTTTACTTTGCTTCTAATAATATTATCAAAATCTTCAGCCAACAAAATGCCCCTTTAAAATATGTATTTCGATCTCTCTTGAGAAATACTTATTTTAAACATATACACAAGATTTTGATGCGACCTTCGAATCATCGTAACATTTAATGCATTTGACTTCAGTCACGTCAATCATGACACTTTTAAGATTCCTTAACCGCCTGGAACCACTTCTCAGTATGGTGTAGTTACAAAACAATGATTATCTTTAATCACGCTTACTACCAATGTTAACTTTACGCCACCTCTTCATCAAACCAACCCATGATTTCCACGTATCACAACCTTATTCAGTGGATGCTTAAACTTCCACATTATAAAAACCCATCAACTTAGTCTTTTTCTTTTCTTTCCACATTCTGAATCTTTTCTCCTTATTCTCTCACTGAAACCCTAAGCTTTCAACATTCTTCCAACAATGTCTTCTTCTACTTCATCCCAACTAAAAAAGGTTTCCAAGAAGAAAGGAAAGACCGCAGGAACTACCATGGAAAGCAAGATTGTCACTCACCAAGGTCAATCTGTCCTTGTTCCCCAGATGATCTCAAAGGAAAAAGAAATGCTTTATGCATCCCAGGTACTTATTCCTACCATCGCTGCTGGTAAGAGTCTAGCTTTAATGGGCCCTCTTACAGTTTTTGAAATTTTAAAAGATACCAGGAAAATTTTCCCAGTTTGCTATAGTTTCAAACCCTTGTTTAACAAAATGGACGCCCCTAAGGCAATAGAATCTTCAGGCTCAAACACCGTAGAAAATACAATCGTGCCTCCTAAGGACCCTTTTGTATTAGACTATGTAAAGAGTAATTTCAAACCGTTTCGATCTTGCCCCACCTCCGATACTGCTTATCAGAACTGGTTCAATAAGGTAGAAGCTAGGAAATCCCAGCAATGGGAAGAATTAGGTATCTACAACTTGATTAAGCTGTCGAAGCCAGGTTTTACTTACAGCCACCCTTTGTTATTCGCGTCCCTATATTTCTGGGACAGTACCTATAATACTTTCCATCTCCCTGGTGGAATGATTACCCCTACCTTCTTTGACATAACGGCCATCACTGGGCTATCACCAGTAGGAGAAACATATATCCCTGACAACGAAGAACATTCGAGTATAATCGACTTCGAAGTTAAACTAGCAAG